CCGATCCCAGCCATGGGGAAGGTCCTGATCCAAAGGAGCATATATTGCTGATCGCTAATACTCTTGCTTCAAATGGCTTGTCAATATCTTTAAGGACTATCCGGCTCTCTCGCTCCCTCACTTGCGGCCATTTATTTCGCTTGCTTCATTCACCTCTTTTGCGGCGTCCATCCAGTGGCAATCGACAGTCGCGGGTGCTGATAACTCGATAAGCTCATCGCTAATGGGAGATGTTCGACCCTGTCCTGTTCAGTGGCTCCCGGTCCACTCGCGCGTTTCTGGTGTGATTCGCGCAACAGGGAGTTAAATGACTCTTTGGATTCGTCCAAGATCGGCACTTGCCGGAGACTATGGACGTCACGGAGTTAGCCTCTCACTGAAATTGACAGCGCATCAATCTCTCAATCGCGGTGCCTGTTCCTGGGCGGACAGCGTTTATGCAAGCGATTGTGATGAGAGGTAGCACTGTCCCATTCCAGCTGATGAAATTTCCGGTTGCTGATAATCTCTCGACATTCTCCCTGTCTTGCGACATTCTCCCTGGCCCTGAGTCGCCACTGACATGTTAACGCTCCTCTGCATAAGACCTCACCGCGCTTCCGGTACGCTATTCCCCTCCCCATGTCCTCCAGCCCGTCCGAGAATTCCCTTCCATTCTTCAGCCATCCGGGATCGAGCTCGGACATGCTGGACGGGCCGGAAAAGACACTCACCAGTCTAATTTCCCCACAGACGCCGATTAGACCGCGAGATATACCGTACGTTTGTCCCCAGTCATCCGTGCAATCACTCACGATGAACACAGTGGACATTTCGAGATGCGGAAATTCCTTTCACGTCTCATGGCATGGCCAGCCATTATCATTATCGGTCAACTCATACTCCAGCTCGCCGCCTGGGGCTTCTTTGCCGTCGTGGAGGTACGGGGGTTCATCGTGTTGCCCCCATCGAGCGCCGAGTGGGCTCGCAATCACGCTCATCCCGTCACCCTGATATCCACCGTGGTCTCGACATGTCTCGCAGCCTGCTCGTCCTTGTGCGTGCATCATTCTCAAATTCGATCGCCGCTGACACTCAGCAACTATAGCCTTTTTTCGTGGGGGCTTCGTCAGTCGCTCGCCCTTCATATGCACCGCGACGGCATGTCCCTAGCCACATTCGTTTCAAGTCTCAAGGTCTCCACCCGCTCCTTCGTGCTCGACCTCCGAAGAGCAAAGTGGAGCGCAACCTCCATTACTCTAGTCATCTTGACTGGTCTTCAGACCACCGGGTTTGTGGTTCCTGCTGCGGTGATCACACTTTGTCTGACACCCTGTAGTTGGACCACCCTGCTCACGCCGCTCCCCATTACGATCCCGACGCCTTTGACTGGTTCCGAGATCGACCTCTCAAGCCCTGCGCTCCTGAAAATGCAAACCAGCGGCCTCCTGGACGATTGCGTGTATAATGGAAGTAGGTGACTCGAGCTTCCCTACGCGGCGAACTCTCACGCCCCCCAACCAGTTTCCCTACTTTCGCCGTGGGCCAGACGGAAAGCGGATACGCATTGGTGAAGAACGAGATGTCATTCCCGGCGTCAATTATGTTGATGGATAAGACTTTCAACATTAGGACTGGTACGACACCGTTGCTTTTCATGTCCTATCCCGACTCATCATTCCGCAGTGGGTGTTCTTCCGTTGAGTGATTATGACATCAATGCGAGCTCGTGGTTCGGGGGAAATAACTCGATCCCCGCGGCGCTGGACCACGCCCATCTCCCCGACGGTCTGGAGTCGAGCTACATGCTAACGCAGCAGGGTGAGCATTCCTCGCGACCCATCATAGAGAAGGACTAACTTCTGCGCAATGCAGGATTCACTGCCTATGTCGATTGTCACTTCCAGAATCTTACAGCCGATACGACACCGTCGGGAACACTCTGGAACGACACTGTCAAGGACTGGAGCAGTGGACTGAAGAACGTGGCCGACATCACGTACTCAGAGTTCACTTCCGATTGCGTGGTTCCGGAGCAATCTTAACGTAAGTATTGGACAACAGCTTGGGAGTGTCGAGGTTAATCGTTCTATGCAGTCAACAACACGTACGCGTACACTGACAGCCAGGAGTCGAACTACGTGTTGGCGATTGCCTGTTTGGGCGACACAAACTATGGTATGTTGTTGCCGCATTTGCGGCGATACATCTGACGTACGACCAGCCTTGATGTTCCAGTCCGCCGGCAAATACGATTTCATGAATAACATGGTCTGCACCGTCGCCCCCCAAATAACCACGGTGAACGTAAAATATGGGGATACACAATCGGCCGGTACTATTGGGACCGACGCACTTGACCATGAGGTTGTGGCGGAGCCTGTTGGCAGACCTGCTGGCCTGTCCGCTATGAGAACCATCGTGAACATGGTCTTCTTCTCCCAGGCTATATCTACCAACATCGTGGGCGATGAGCTTGATTCATCCATTTCAAAGACCGACGGACTGGATTATCAGGACAAGACAATCTTGACATACACGGTACGTGGTGTGGGCCCTCCTGCCATCGTCCGCTCACAGTAGCGCAGGAGGAATATCTCAGCGCGGTGGCAGAGTACAGTGGCTCTGTAGGACATTCCGTTTGCAATGACCCCGCGTGCTTGGATCTGATCCTCGATCATAGATTTTGCGGGCTTGTCTGTCCGCCACCAACCTGATCTTCGCGGACGGTGTCCCAGCCAACATGACTGTTCCGATCGACGGACTGTTCTCTACCCAGACCGTTGGTTGGCTGCATGCCTCAGCCACCACCTTCTGGGTTCAGATTCCAGGAACACTTGTCGCCCTCATCACCATCCTCGTCGTTCTCGCGGCTGTCGCCCAACATCACGGTGATTCGATAGGCAAACCTTTTGATCCCTCGAATGCTATGCATCTGCTCGCCGCCTCGGCCGCTGGCGGGTTACAGGATGTGTTCAATGGGACAGAGGAGAAGGATATTCAGGCGGTGGAAGACGTCAACATCATCCTGTCTTCCCTGCCTGGGCGGGGACTCGCCCTGTTTAAAAATGCTGTTTGAACAGTTGTCTTTGTCTTTGTACGCCTCCACCGTGGCGGTCTAATTTGGGTAATATATCATGTAGTACATATTCAAGTATAATGGCAATATTTCAGAGCATCTGATACGCAGAGCTGGCGCTGAGTGAGAAGGTAAAAGGATTCCGGTTCTGAACCCCTATTGGCCCCAGTCGTCTATGTTCTGTATTAGTAACAAATAATTTGCTCCGCACGCAGCACGCGCAATTCACTGGGGCGTGTTGATGACGGAAAACGATGGCAACGATTGAAATTGGGAGCGGCAGCTTGGCCAGCTTGTTGGGGTGGCGATCCCGGTGCATGATAGTGGATCATGGACAGTGACGAGCCGGATGCGGATCAGGACTCGGGCAGAGTTTGAAATCACTCCTTGTCAGCGATCTTGCTTGCAAGAATAAGCCTAGCGTGATCCAACGAAGAAGGATCCCGCGCACCATGGTTTATCGATACTAACACTGCAGGCAAACTACCGAGCTGTTCATATCCATATTCCGTACCTCAATTTACGTGAGCAAAAATCTGAATTCAAACCTTGAACCTGAGCCGAGTCTCTGATCTCAGGCCTCGCCGTCGCATGTGGAGAAATTCATCTACGTGAGTAGCGAATCCGTGGACGAGGGACTAGCGCACCGCCCCAAAAATCGAACATCGATTACTCCACACAAGACATGTTTCCAGTCCTAATCGGTACCTGGATTTAAAACGTACCTTTCGGCCTCTGGAATGGCATCCTGCACCTTAAGTCAAGTCGCTGAATACTGGACTCCTTGTGTGGATATTTTCAAGGATGAATGTACGAGCGAGACTGGCTTGCCGAGTGCACTGACTGGAAAAAAAGATAGAACGTCGTTCACCGCAATAATTGCTCGGGCTCGAGTCGAACGAGCGGATCCTGCTGAGCTGTCCCAAGGCATACATTAAGATGCCGCAGGGGTGGGCCGCACACTACCGAGCCGTTCTCAGGCTGGTCTAGTCCCTCAATTAATCTTAGAAAAAGCAGAATTTAGCACAACAATCAATACCTTCTGAAGTCCTCGAACCTTGACCCTGAGCCGAGTCTCCGGTATGTAACGCTTGAATTTAAACTCAGACGAGGTTTGGTTTCGGGCGGAGGGGGTGGGATTGGTGGGCCTGGATGCCCACAAAAAGGAGTTAAAGGCCGGAGAATTTTGGATACAGATGCCTCGGGCTCGAGTCGAACGAGCGGCTCCTGCTCAACCGTGAACTTAAGACACTGAAGGTAGGCGTGGACCGTCCACTACCGAGGGAAGTGGTAGCCACAGGTGTAGGCACTCAAGATTGTCAAATTTAGGCACACCCTGTTGAGTTAAAGCAACCAAAGTGTGCGAGAGCTAGATAGTAAGTAACTCAGTCTTGGCACTGGGGGCAAGGCCCATGGGGGTAGTTTCATGGCAGTTGACACGGGAGGCAAAGAACAGCGCACCCAAAAGCTGGGTGCGTGAAAGGCACCCGTTTACAAACATGTTCTGCCAAGTGTGTGACATCTCACAATGGTCATTTGAAAGAGTTTGATCTGTCGCTGAGTAAGTATAAGATAAATTGTAGTTAGATAACCCAAACATAGAATGTTATTTATCCATAGTTAAAGTATAGAAGAAATTTAAAGAATCAGAAGCTGAGAGCCAGCCGCAGAAGCCGTCTTACGACGGCATGCTTGTCCCGTTGAGGCCCAGTGACCCAGGCGTGCCCTCGTGACGAGATAGCGCCAGGCCCTCCGTCATGTTCTGATTCGCCCCGGCCATGACAGGTGTCACGCAGATGCTCGCCCCGCCTGCGGCGGGTGTCACACAGACACCCATCCCACGCCGCCGAGCCACTCCTGATGTGGAGTGTGTTTGCACCACATTTGTCGGGCAGGCACGATGCCCACACACCGCCTCTGTCGGGACACAACCCCACCACAGTGGCCCGGGCTCGAGTCGAACGAGCGGTTCCTGCTGATCCAATGCCTTTCAAGATGAGCAAATGCAGGCGTGGGCCGTCCACTACCGAGCCGTTCCCATTCCCATTTAGTGCCTGAGTCTAAGATGTACCGCTCGGCCTATGGGATGCCATCGTGCCCCTTAAGTCAAGTCGGTGATTCCTGTAGTCTTCGCGTGTGGATTTTATGGATGAATTTACGAACGAGACGTGCCTGCCGAGCGAGTGCACTGACCGGAAAAAAAAGAACAGCCATAATTATGGCCCGGGCTCGAGTTGAACGAGCGGTTCCTGCTGGACGTTGACAACTTGACAGTGAATGCAGGCGTGGACCGTCCACTACCGAGCCGTTCCTATCCATATTCCGTCCCTGGTTTTATGTATGTGAGCAGGAAATCTGAATTGAGCACGGTGTGGGCCGGGTTTGAGAATCGAGGGAATGGCGCAGGCAGCTGAATCGCGAGCGGATTTAAGTAATGGCAAATCGATGAAATAGGAATAAAGTAACAGACCTGATCGATTTGAGAAGTGTCAACAATTGTCAAACGTGTTGTGTACCGCAGTGAGGACTCGGCGGAGCCAAAAAGAACACATTCGCTACTTCATGGCCCGGGCTCGAGTCGAACGAGCGGCTCCTGCTGAACGTTGGAAGCCACGAAAAATCGCATGCAGGCGTGGACCGTCCACTACCGAGCCGTTCTTGGTGTTGTTCGGTTCCTGGATCCAAGTCCTTTCACCGCATTCGTATTCCTGAGTCTGCGTGCAAAAGAAACGGTCAGTGTTGGAGGTTGGATTGTAACGGAGGTGGTCTGAGTACCAGATGGACTAATAGAAAAAGAGGTTTCGGTGTCGCACAGTGGTGAACAGTGGCTCGAGCTCGAGTCGAACGAGCAGCTCCTGCAGCACCCTTCGATTTTATTGAATGCTGTGCAGGCGTGGGCCGTCCACCACCGAGCCGTTCCTGTGGTGGTTCGGTCCTTGGATCTATGCGAGAGTTGAAATCAACCCATGGTATGTCCGTTCATCACACTCGTGTTTTTTTTAGGTTGCGTGCAAATAAACGGTTAGTGTTGGACGTTGAATTGTAACGGATGCGGTCTGCCACGTACCAGATGAACTAAAAAAAGCCGATTAAGAAGAGGCCCGGGACCGGGTCGAACGAGGGGCTCCTACTGAACTTAGTAGCCCGATAATACAAGGCGTGGACCGCCCACCACCGAGCCGTTCCCATTCCCATTTGGTACGTAAATTTAAAATGTACCTTTCGGCCTATGGAATGGCATCGTGCACCTCAAGTCAAGTTTTTGATTCCCGTAGTCTTCGCGTACGGACTTTATGGATGAATTTGCGAACGAGACGTGCCTGGCGAGCGAGTGCACTGACCGGAAAAAAAAAAGCACGACACCAACATTCCATGGCCCAGGCTCGAGTCGAACGAGCGGCTCCTGCTGATCCGATGCCTTTCAAGATGAGCGAATGCAGGCGTGGACCGTCCACCACCGAGCCGTTCTTGCTACGATCCAGTACCTGTATTCATGTGAGAGTGAACTCATTCCGGAGTCGGAATGTACCTTGGCGTGGTGCTGGCATAAATAAGTCCTCGAATCCAGCGCCGAGTCGGCGAAATAATACTTCAAATGACAGTATTCAGGAGAGAATTCGTGCATGAGGGACTTGGGGGCACCTTCCAAAAAAAGAATGCCATCAAGGAACACGGTTCGGGCTCGAGTCAAACGAGCGGCTCCTGCTGAACGATAAACTGAGGAGACCGAAGGCAGGCGTGGACCGTCCACTACCGAGCCGTTCCTGTGGTGGTTCGGTCCTTAGATCCATGCGAGAGTTAAAATCAACCCATGGTACTTACTTTCATCACATTCTACATTCTTGAGTCTTAGACAGGGTGCAAAAGAAACGGTCCGTGGTGGATGTTGAATTGTAACGGAGGCGGTCTGCGTACCAGATGGACTAATAAAAAAGTGGGTTCGGTGTAACACAGTGGCCCAGGCTCGAGTCGAACGAGCGGCTTCTGCTGAAGACGATACCGGGCTGACAATGCTTCGCAGGCGTGGACCGTCCACCACCGGGCCGTTCTTATGCCTATTCAGTCCCTCAATTTATACGAGCAAAGATCTGAATTCAAACCTTGAACCTGAGTCGAGTATCTGATCTCGGCTTCGCCGTCGCATGTGAAGAAAGGTATCGAATTTGACTAGAGAATCGGGAACTAGAGGCTTGCGCACCATCCAAAAAATTCAGCGCGATCACAATATAGTGGCCCGAGCTCGAGTCGAACGAGCGGATCCTGATGAATCTCTTCTTCAAATCAAATGCTGCGCAGGGGTGGACCGTCCGCCACCGAGCGGTTCTTAGCCTGATCTAGTCCCTCAGTTTATGTGAGAAAAAATCAGAATTCAGTAAGCTGCGGCCGAAGTCTTCGAACTTGTGCGAGGCTTGGATGTGAATTTGGATGGGATTTGATTTCGGGGGTGGGCTTGGACGCTCACCAAAAGTCCGAAATCAATGCATGGCTCGGGCTCGAGTCGAACGAGCGGCTCCTGCAGCACTATTGCATTCGTTGAATGCTGCGCAGGCGTGGGCCGTCCACTACCGAGCCATTCTTAGGTTGATTGAGTGCCTGGATTTATGGGAGTGTATTTGGTGGTCTAGTACCGTCTTCACGTGACAACACCGAATCTAAGCGCTGAGACATAAGCACCAGAGATAAGAAAGGATCACGAAGACATCGGAACGGGCAATGACGTCAGGGGTCTTTATAGGTGAAACACAGACGAAGCCTGGGAGACAATAGGACATGTTGCTACGGGACATTTGAACGTAGGATACCAGGAGACTTTCATAACTTATGACAGGCGCAGCCCAACACACGACTACGGGCTATTGTACAGTATAATTATATCGTAGTTCACACGGTTCACAGAACAGTATTTAAGTAGTGTAGTTATAGCCTGTATTTCTTTAGTCTTTTATTTAATCATCTTTTTGAGACATCCACTCGCACTCCCCAATCCACTCTCTTGTAGAGCTGGACGCGAAGTCTTGACTGTGACACGGAAGGTCGGTAACGCTCAGGTTTCCTAATCGGGAACGGACTTCAATTTGGCCGACATGCCGAACTCTCGTTACATAATCCCCGTCATCCCCCGTCAGGCACCCCGGTTTTGATCCCCCGGTTTTCCCATATCCCATTTGTTCTCTTTTGAATGGGGGCGGACGGGAAGCGGGCCGAGGTTATGTCACACTGTCAAGGTGTTTGACCTGTGACGAAGACACGGGACCAATTCTCCGAGTTCGGCAGCCTAAATCGATCCTTGCGCTTCGACTATGCGGGCTTGTCTCTGTCTCGTTAACTCAGACGTTCTGGTGACAACGGCCCGCGCGGACAATCGGACTGGGCGGAGTTTCAAAATGTAGTGCGGAAATGTCACCAGAACGTCTGGGCCACTTTGCATGGCAACAGCGCACATCGAGTCACATCGTCACCATCTTGTGACTCTTCCGCATACGGCCACCACGTCCATCGCAATGCAAGCACATTCACACGTCCAGAGCTCTAGCAAATTGGTCTGTGTCCACCGCTGCTTATTGAAAACCCGGAAATGTAGTCAGAATTTAAGGCCCCCCATTGAATTACATTTTTCTTTTATTTTTCGTCTTACGTGCAATCACATGCGATCTTGCCAATCCTCTCCTCTCTGATGTCATCCTCGGAGCCCGCAAATTCTGAAGAAGAAGATCCATTTCATTGGGATGTGGAATCAGTACACTCGGAGTCCGATGACTCCGACTACGACCCCGCGGATGTCATTCCTACCTCAGACGAGTCTGATCCCGACTCCGAATTGGACCAGAATGCTCGTCACTCACAGCCTGCAATCCAGACCCAGCAGACGGCACTTCTTCGAGCCAATCTTCACGATAATCTTGCTGCCAAAGTAAAAATGGTCCTTGTTTACATGGACACGGTGGGGATTAACTTGCCCATTCTACTCGACACGATGAGCTGGGGTGATGTTATATACTGAGCCGATGTGGGAGGGACAAGGCCCGAAGGTTCCGGACCGGGAACGGAACCGGAGACCGGATGACCGGAACGTTCGGAAATAAAGTAAGTGGATCGCAGACACCACAGGAGGTAAGGGTGTGCGTACTACCTGGGCCGGCAGTTAGGAAGTCGATTGGTGAAGACCGGAAGGTAAACCGGAAGCGACTCAGAGCAAGAGGAAGTCAAGCAACGTTAATAATCAAACTGAAGTACAGGACATAACTAAAGTGTATATATAATAAAGTCCGTTATTGTAATCCTAAATATGGTAATGGTAATGTGACCATGAGCATAACAATAAGAGGATGTCTAAATGCGGATGAAGAAGAGAAGTCAAGTACAAGACAAAAAGAAAGAAGACGGATAAACGGGAAACGCTCAGTAATCCTTCATTGCGTAAAAACCCGTTCAGCCGAGGCGGTCCGAAGCCGGCCCGGATGGTTCCGGTGAACCGGAACCGGAAAGGAGTCGGGTGATCCCGGAGTCCGGATGCACGGATGTAACAGGTGATCCAGCTAGGTTCGGAACAAGCCCCGTTCTGACGATGCCGTGCGATGCCGGAGCAGAACAAAGAGAGGCAAATACAGAACAAACAGACCAAACATGCCTTCGTCAGAAGGGGCTTGCTTCAAACTCCGTCAAACAGAGGACTTAGGAATCGCCGCCTACTGCCACACCGCGGCCTCATTCCACCTGGGTCAATTAGTAAAACTTTTAGTTCATCAGCCTGGCTACAACATCTACTGAGACTTTGTATGATTTGGACTGATATTCATCGAGCTCGACACCTTCGAAAAGTGGCTTAAACACCACCTTTTTTGAGAGGCCTCAAAGATATTTATTTTGAGCCAAGAAAAAAAGTTTGTCCCCGGGCCGGATACCTCCACCATATATCTTGGAGTCAAGCATTGCTCCAATGTATTCTGGGCCCTGTGTTCAACGTTATATCACATCGATCCTCTAGAAATCAGTGAAATCACGTACACTGTCACGGACTGTGACCTATCCATTCTCGTCACATCCAGTCGCTAAATATTCACTATGCCTCGAATACAATCTATAAAATCATGTTTCAAGCGCGGATGAATGGTGGATGTTCAGGGATATGCTATAGATGCAATTTTCATGTTGAATGGGGAGAATATAGACGGAATGGCGTCAATGGAGAGGTTTGGCTTCCAAACATATATGCGGGCTCCAGTTGAATCACAATTGCCAGAATAGACCTCCAAAGCATTGCAGATAACATATGAAACATTGAAGGCTAGGTTTCCAGGTACTACAGT